TATCCTTATATTAAGTCTATGGTTTGAGTGGCGTGGCCAGAGAAGGATGCTTGCAGCCGGATGCTCTTTTTCTCATCTTGACAAGTTTCAAAGTTTCGGTTCATCCCATCTGAGACACTGATACAAAAGACAATACGAAAATAATAAACCAACAAAAATCACAGTAGGTAAATGAAACAGATTAAGAGAAACAAAAAACAAAACAAAAACGACAAACAAAAACACAACGAAAAAAAATAAAATGCGAGCGCGAACACGAATACTTTTCTTTTGAAAATGTTCTTACCGGAAGTCACACGTTCACCGTTGCTACCTAAAGTCTTCACGGAACCAAATGCTAAAATTATTCATTGTTTAGTATTAATATATGTTACTTTTGAGAGATCTGATGTATTTTTCGATTAAGAGAGCGAAAACTGTTCTACATGAAAAAGATTTGGCTGAAAAATTATGAAATACGTGCTAGGATTTGATCTAAAGTTGCTTTCGGTGTTATGAAGATTGTTGTTGACCGGACGAAAGACGTTCTAAGGTGGGAATGATCATCAGTTGGAAACTTCTATATTTGAATGTAAAATGGCACTGCACACTAGCCAAGTGAAACACTAGCTAGTATGGACTCATAAATTTGAGCTACTTACCTTTTAGTTCTGTGCTCCATGAGTGGTACTATCATTTTGTTGATCAGTATTTTAAACATGGTAAGCTATAGTGGAATTTTTCTTGAAAATAGGGTTATATTAATATTTGTCAACCAATTACATGGCATTAGGACCTCCCCTGCCTTGCAGTTTTAATATGTCCCACTTGTCTCTCTCTTTTATTACAGATGCCTTCATTTGGGTTTCTGGATAAATTGGAACAATTTTTTCAGACTGGAAAGTTTGGAGAAAATTCATCTAAAAGTTTAAAAAAGGGAATCAAAGCTGCCTGCAAACGATTCATCTACAAAGGTAATCCAATAAGTATTTGGAATGGTGACAAAAGTGAAACTATTCATCTTGAAAAGTGAATAAAGTAAATGAATGAAGCTATTTACCCAATTTATTTCAGTATTAAGATAACACCTCAAATTAGATTGACTGGATTAGTTAAAACTCTTTGGTAAGTTATTCCTTTTTAGTTTAAATTCAAATTGATCAAACAATTATTAGCAGAAACATTTTTACCAGAATGCGGATTAAGCCATTTGACGGTGCTATAAATTTGTTAAAAAGATGAAGGCTAAGCTGTTAAATATTTTTTATTTGATTTTGATTCAGTCTGTTGTGGGTTTCTTTGTGGCAAATACGTCTTTTGCAGTTTCTTGTTAATCTTTTATAAAAGCTAAGGTGACTCACATAAAACACTGTAATCACTAGCATTCTGTTAAAGATTCAACACAGACTTGATTTAGGGAAAGTTTTTAAGTTGCTCACCAGTTTTCATAATGTACTGCTTAGGTTTGATCTCCCACAACGCATCTCTGTTTTATCTGCTCTTTACAACTATTTTAAGATACAATAAATGGACATTTTAAATGATACACCTCTGTCCACAAGTCAAAAAGAAGTAAATCATTCAAACTAGCTGGGACTACAGCTGTAAAATAATCTCTCCTCCAGATGGCCTTTTGATGCGACCTTATCGAGGCCGTCTCCTTCGTGTCGTCAGAAGTGAAAAAGAGATTCGGGAGATTCTGACACGTTACCATGACGACAACAACCATGCGGGCCGAGAACGGGTAGTGAGAGAAATTATGGTGAGTGGAAATTATGTGTCATTTATCTAAAACTGTAGTAAGTGTTAAAAACAGATCTTATCTTCGTGTTTTTCCAGCTGATGTACTACTGGGTTGGAGTGACGGAGACTGTGAAGAACTGGGTCAAAGCTTGCCCGGTTTGTCACAGCCGCCCTCCACCTCCTCCTTTCCAACCAGCTGTTCTGTTCTGCCTGGTTTATGGCTGCGATGCCTCCAGCTACGCTTTCCCTGAGCTCTCCTTTCACAGGTCAGACCTTTAACAATACAACAAAATACTTCTCTCATCACTACATTCCCTGATTTAACAGAATGCTAAATGTTCTCCATCATAATCAGACTTCAATTCAATTAATTTAATTTCTAAAGAGGGATATTAAATGCATTCAAGAATCTTCAAAAAGTTGCCGTGGATGTGGTTCCTGTGGGAAGAAATCATCTCCAGTATAGCAGCCAGTCTTGCAAAGAATCTGAAGAGGTCTCTGACTGAAAACTGGAGCTGTATGACAACAATATTCCACAGCAACACGTCCCTGAAGACACCATAATTTGTTTTCAAGTGCCACCTCATTTACTCTTTCTGCTCCTTGAAATCTCTGGCCATGTGCTGTGAAAACTGGGCAGAGAGATGTATTTAAATCCTTCATCATTTGTGTAATGTTGACAAAAAATCAAAGAGAACCATAAACCCTGTACACAAAGTTGTGTGTTGTTTTTTTAATTCAGTAAAGTTGTGTAGAGGTAATATGGTGCTCTCCTTTATGCCCTGCAGGTTTCCTAAGGTTGAGGAGCAGCGCAAGAAGTGGCTGCAGGTGGCTCAAAGGGACGAAGCCTCGCTACGCACCAACTCCTACATCTGCTCCAGACACTTTGAAATGTCCTGCTTTACACTCACTGAGGAGGGTCAGCTGGTGCTGTCTCCGGATGCTGCCCCAACCTTATTGCCTGTAACAGCCCATGGAAATGAGGTGACAATGTGGTGCTGGAGCATTTTAATCAGTCAGGGCAGGTGATGCAGTAAAATAGATGCTAATAATGATGAGAGAAAATCAATTTGACTTTCCTATATAGTTGTTTTATTGGTAATAACATTTTTATGGTCAAAATCACAGAATTCATATGTGCTGCCTGTTGAAATACATGGGATCTATAGTGCTGAGCCCTACAGGTACAAGAGTTGCTCTTCTACTCATTAAGACATTTGAAAACAATTGGAAAATACAGAAAATAAAGCTTGTGTTCTGTCAGATCAGGATACGCTGTCAGATCGTCACACAAACCGACGGCTATATGCGTCAGAGAAGCATATGCTGTGCTTACAATGTGCTTTTATTTAATCAGCAACATAATATTAGAAGTTATATTGTCATACACTTTGTTATCAACAGCTGTATGATATCCCATCTCAAAGGTTAACTAGTCAGACCATCATCAATGAACAGGGATATTTTCTATGGGGTGTGTTGTAGTTGACTGCAACTTTAGCTAGCCCCTGCTTTAAATACACTTTGAAACCATGACAATGCATGTTTATCTATCTAGTTATTGAAAACAATTTATTGACTTATTTTTATCGTATCTTGTTGACAGCGCCTCTAAATGTCGCAGAACTCTTAATGTGCACAGATTCGTACTCATTGCATGTATGCTTTTCTGACAGCCTATGATGATCTGACAGAACAGCAGAATTCAAGGACTCACCTCCTTGTTAATCATCTTCATTGAAGTTGCCAGATTTTTCAAAATGAAAGGAAAATTAGAGACAAACAAGGATATTGTAAGACATATTTGTTGAGAAGGACAGGTGGATGAACTTCATATGAAATAGAGACAAGATAATACAAGATTTTCAATGTTATTCAGAAAAGAGACATCAGCCAAGAAAAACACTGAAACAAAAAATGAGATTTGTTAGCTTAATCTACATATATCTATATATATTTTGCAACATAGTTGAATTGCATGGAATAGATTAAAGCTTTCATCAGTTAATGTCAGCACTGAAATAAAGGGTTCCATATTGGATCTTGGATCTGTACATCCAGTTCTGGGGGAGTCGGGCCTCATTGATCCTGACTGTCATCACACATCACAGAGTTTAATGATGCATTTGACATTGGTGGGTCACTTAAGGATACTATTAATGATTGCTCCTTTCTGTCGTGTCAGATTATAGCACATTTCCTCCATGTCTTGTTGACTTTGTACATAAAAAAAACTGAATATTAACAATGGTATTAAAAACAAGACCTGAATTGGACTTGGGATAGGGATGTTTGGTAAATCCATATTAGGTAATTCTCCTTGATGTTCAGGTGTCTGTGGAGTCAGGTGAAAATTTCAGGTATTCCAACATATGGAAAGATGAACTCAAAGGAGCTGCTGCTGCTGCTTCAGTCATCGACCACAGCTCTCATCCTGTCAGTCTGTCTGAAGCAGCTCTGCAGCTTCAGGAACATCAGTACTGCCTGCCAGGCCCAGCACCAGACTGCAGGGCTGCCAGAATAATGAATGAACACCGGAGGAGGACAGCTGTTGAGCCAGGCTTCATTACTTACAACCATATTGCCAGGTATAACCATTGAATAACAACAGAGGACCAATGCAATGTTTAATTTCATTTTATCCTGTTGGTTTATCACCATACTGCAGGTACTTAAGTACCAGGGTACTACCTATGCAGGGCAAAAGAAGCAGGTCAGCTTTAAAAAGAATGGCCAAGCGTTTTAGTCTGATAGGTAAGTGGAGACAACACCAGGCTGGAATATCTCTGATTCATACATTATTATAATTATTTCATTTTTGAAGAAGTAAAACAAGGATTCAATTTTCTGTTTCAGATGGGCTGTTGATGTACACCAGAGTCTCTCCGCCCCTCAGAGTACCACGCAGCAGAGAAGAGGTCAATTAAATACCAATGGATTAATCAGTATTACGTAGGATTTATAACAGGAGGCGTTTCCTTAATATTACATACTCGAGGTGTGCAGACTAGAAGTTGCTATGCTATGATCTCAAATAGGCACAGAACCATGAAGCACCAGACTGCTAAAATGTGTTATATATTTTAAACAAGAAATGTTGCAAATCCAGATACATAGTTATACAGCAACACAAACCTCAAGTCTGAATAAGAATGAATTATATTGTTATTGTGCAGGAAAGAAAGCACAACAAAATTTAAAAAATAGCAACTCTCGAAGGCAAGTTAAATGATTGAATAAAAAAAATAATAAATAACTAATAAGTCTAACATTTACAAACATGAACAAAGCTGAAAGCTGTCATGTCTTCCAGGTCAATTCCATCCTTCAGCAATTCCATGACAACCAGGGCCACTATGGGCAGGGAATCTGCCAGAGACAGATCTCTAAGCACTACTACTGGGGGAGCCTGAGTCGAGACCTGGCCAGCTGGATCTCCAGCTGCCAGACGTGTGTCAACAGATCTAAAAGGAAGATGATTCGCTGCAGTGTCTCCAAGTGCACCAACCGCTGTGGCCCAGTGGAGAGAAAACTCGGACTTATTTTCCACAGGTATGACTTCACACCACAACTAAAATCTGTTATTTCATTTATTTTCGTGGAAAAACCTTAACCATGTTGTGCTTTTCTAATTACCTTCAAAGTAGTTGTTATTTCTGTATTTTTATTGGTGTTTTTGAGCAGGTATTTTATTTACAATTGAACAGAACATTGATGAACTTGAACTGCAACAGTTAAAAAAAAAGAAGCTGACTAATCAAAGTAAAAAGTACCCTGCAAAAGTTGGTTTTGAGGGAAATGCATACAAATCTCATCAGTACCAGGCAAAATGTGGCCCATATCTGTAATCAACAACATGACACAGTCACACCTGTCTTCCATAGACACGGCACGGTTAGGGACAGAGAACATCTCAATGCAGCTCAATGTGCTAACTGTTTATCCACCATCATTGGTGGCCACGGTATCTAGCCTTAGCATTCATAGCAGGTGAATGTTATATATCAGTGGTCCCCAACCTTTTTATTACCACAGACCGGTCAAGACTTGGAAATTTTGCTGGGGGGGGGAGTATGAACCGTCAGATAAGGCTTCTGCATGTTGGTGTTCCCGCTAAATCCTGAATATGCCCAATTTGGGTTGTCTTGACCGGTCTGTGGTAATAAAAAGGTTGGGGACCACTGA